AAAATACTGTTTGCAACAGCTCTGCAAGAGAAGTCTTGGTCATTTTATTCTGTCCATTGCACATAGATTGGTTTGTTATAAAATACTGCTTAACTCAGGCTGGCATTAAGTTATTATTGTCAGAAGGGACTGACTTTCGCACCGTGTTTTGTTTATGTGAATTTTCTCATAAGATGACTCCTGATGGCCTAAACTCAAAGCTGTGTCTGACGCACCAAAAAAACCCTCATATGAGCAACAATCAAACAGGCTCACTGTACAGACTGGCTCTGATGGTTGTTTGTCTTAAGCCACTTTTCCTCCTGCTGAGCATGAAAGCTGGATGGGATATTTGTTACAGTTTGGATGAAAGTTATAAGAAGAAGACAAGCTTTAAAAATCATGCATCCCAAAGGGCAAATTATGACTGATGTTTGCAGAACAGCTTTGTCCACATGAAAAGAGAAATTTGTTTGTGAGTTGTAGCTGAGATTTCTGGCATATTGAAGAAAATATTAGGTAAATGAAATATAATATGATCTCTGGAAAATGGCATAGGCATCTTAGATTCTTTGCCCTGCGTGTTCTTAGACATGGACATGTCTTTTACAGGCATAATATATTCAGGATAGACATAGCATTTTGGGTTTTGCTGCTGAATTACAGGAGGGCATTATTTTCTCTTGCAAAAGATGTTTTTCTAAAGGGGATAAATAAGGAGGCACTGAAGCACCACACTCTCACAAGCTGTTATCGTGGTTGTCACGTTGATATTTTGGGATGAGCTACGATCTTTGTTCCAAAAGCTCATACAAAGTCCCACTTGATGTTTGTCGACTGTGCTTTTGATTTAAATTGTAAATGACAGATTTTAAAAAAATCCACCCTACAAGGCTGATTTCTGCAAGGCTTGATCTGAAGATTTTCTGTGCCAGTTTTAGAAAAGACTGGAAAAAGGGCGAGTTATCAAAAATATGCTAACCAATCCATAAAGTCCAATATGGCTGTTACATTAATTAGTTAAGCATCAATATTCCATGGAAATTATGCCACAGAATATATGTGAGATGATCTATAGTGTAATGGTTTACAGATTTGCCTAAAACAATCAAAAGATGCCAAGTTTGATACAGGGAGGAGAAATAAATCCCTCTGGAGTTGAGTCAAGAAGGGCATTAAAATAGCTTTGTTCTACAAAAAAAAAAAAGGTTGTATACATCTGGGATATTGTCCTCCCACTGTAGACTGCATTCGACTAAGGATCTGGCATCTATATGTAGGAAGACTCAGAAGTGTTGGTATTTAATTTTGGACAAAGCGTTTGAAGGCTACAGGATTCAAGAATGGCTGGCAAGATATGAGGTGCTAAAATGTAACTTCATTAGTGAAGTGAAATCTTTTGCTGTGAGCACCAAAGTAAATTAAAAGACTGATATAGCCTATATATCAGCTATTGATATGAAGGCTTCTAACCCTCTTTAAGTTCATTATCTGTAATTAATCTGTAATTTGTAGTTCTTTATAAGTGTCATATGAATGTAAACAGCATTTTTACAAAAAATGTGCTTTACAAACATATAACAGATTGAAAACAGAGTGAGCAGTAGTGGCTTGCTATGCATACAGTTAGGGTAAACACACAGCATTATTTTTGCTTTCTTAAAATAGGGTCCAGTTTTGTTAGGCCTGTGGCTCTTAAATAAATGCAACCCATAGATACGTGAGTAATTTTAGAGTGTCAGCTTCTTTGTTCACAGAGTGTTTAAGATATCTGACCGGTCCCTTTGTATTCTGTTCATCACTTTATTAAAAATGTAAAACATTTATTATGAAGAACAAATCTACACCAGTGAATATGAGGCACAGAATAACGACCGGCACTCAGCGAAGTGGAAGACGAAAGGACTACAACTCCCGCGAAGCAACAGAACGGGAAGCCCAGACTGCGCAAGCGCAGGGCAAACGGTCGCGCGGATGATTTGAGTTTTGTTTGAATGGCCGAAGACGAAGGGGGTTAC